CAATAACAACAATAATGACAGCGCTATCTTACTGGGCCCTTGTCACATGCCAGACACTGTTCTAAATGCCCTCTATATACTAATTTATCCTTTCAGTAACCCTAGGAGATAGGTACTACGATTATTCCCATTTTACAAATGAGAAAACTGAGGCACAGAGGGATTAAGTACTCTGCCCCAGGTCACACAGCTAGTAAGCATTGCCTGGCTTTAAGAGCGGGCATTGTGGCTTCAGAATGTATAAAGCAATGAATGCAGAAATGTTGGAGGGCCTTAAATGCCCATCCAGTCTTCATCGTACTGGTTATGGGAGCCATGGGAAGCTTCTGAGGGAGGACTGCTAAGGCCGCACTCAATGTGACTACCCCTGTCTCCTGCAGAAACCATCCACGGAGCAGCCCCTGTACAGCAGCAGCCTGTGGGGCCCTGTGGTCGATGGCTGTGACTGCATAGCTGAGGGCCTGTGGCTGCCGCAACTACACGTAGGGGACTGGCTGGTCTTTGAGAACATGGGCGCCTACACTGTGGGCATGGGTTCCCTCTTTGAGGGGGCCCAGACCTGCCGAGTCACGTACGCCATGTCCCGGGTGGCCTGGTAAGAGGGCGGGGCCCTGCTGAGGAGGGGGCTGGGGAGGAGAAGGGAGCAGGTAGGAAACCAGGGAAATCTGAGAATTGAGACCGGCTTCCATGTAATCCAGCTTGACAAGTAGCCCTTGGCTGCTGATTCAAGTGAGGCCTGCGCTTGGCACCTGGCCATGGCCATGAATGAGACGGAGCTCCCCCTGAGGAGCTCAGCACCCTGTGAGAGACACAGACAGGCAGACAGGCACTCCTCAGAATCCTGGGGGGCGAGAGTGGGCTGTGGAACCTGAGAATCCTTCCTGGTGCCCAGACAGACTTCCCCAAGGAAAGAAGATGGTAGGTGAAGGGGAGGTAGCCAGCAGGAGGCAGCAGGGGGCTCCAGGCAGAAGGAACGGGGAGTAAGTATGCTGCCTTCTAGAAAATGAGGTTGGTTGTGACTGGAGAGGAAGCAGGGTTGCATCTGGGAAGGGCCTTGAAGGCTGAGTGAAGGGTTTTGAGCAATGCAACGCATGGACTGATTTGAAGCAGGGGGGTGACGTGGTCTGGTTTGGATTTTAGAAAGACCAGTCTGGCTACTGGGGGGACAAGGATAGATGTGGACTGAGCAGACCCGTTGGGTGGCTGCCCTGTGGCCCGGGAAAGACTTGCCTGCTGGCCGAGCCTCCACAGGAAATGCACACAGCACTAGCCCTGCTTACCTCTCTGGGCCAGCGCTGGGATCCAGTGAGGCAAGAGGGGCACAAGGCAGACAGAAGTCACGTGTGTTGAGCCTTTCTGCCGGGCCTTAGGTCCGGCATCATATGATTATGTCCTCACCGGCACAGAACTCTGGGAGCCGTGCTATCACAGAGAGTTTGGGTCAGAGGCGAAGAGCCCCCTTTTGGGGCTGGGAGATGCCAGGGGAGGCAGGAGCAGTGCGGGGACTTCCATGCTGGGCCTCAGGAGTGAGTGCCACCTACGTCCTGGGGGACGCCCCGATGCTTGAGGATGCTACACGCACCCCCCCGCCCCCACACCAACAGTGTAGCAACCCCGCCTGAAGGGGCGCAGCACCAAAGTCACATTCCCTTCACCCAGTCAATAGTCCTTGGTGGTACCTCCTCCTCCCCGCAGGGGCAAAGGTTGGGCTGATGCAGCCATTGTGACAAGGCCTGAAACAAAGTTAAAAAATCTATGACACAGGCCTCCTCCTCCCATCCCAGCTCCATCTTGGCCAAACACAGACAGAGGAGGCAGCAGGAGGCAGTTTATTTATTATTAGAAATAAAAAATTTTGATGTATTAAAATGGCCATGCCGAAAAATTCCCTGTATCCAAGGAGTCCCAGCAAAACATCCTGCTTTCAAGCCTGGCTCTGTGCTGGGTCCTTGAGGGAGAAGAGCACCCTAGACAGCACGGTGACCTGCACACGCGGACACCGGCGCGGAGGGCAGAAAGGTCACTGGGGAGTGAGAGACGGCAGACTGGGGAGGGGTGGTAAGGCTGACGGGTGTGGGGGAGGTAGCCTGGCACAGGAAAGCTGACGGGGAGCAGACTGGGCAGAGACATACGGGGGCGTGAGTCCAGTCCACTCACAGAACTGCAAGAAGTTGTGCCTGACTGGAGTGGCCTGTGCGGAAGACTGGATGGAGAAGGACCTTGCAGGTCTAGGTTCAACTTGATCTTGAAGGCAGTAGAGAGCCACTGATGCTTTTCAAGAAACTGGACGAATCTGTTTTGATTCTGATTCTGATTTGAATCTGATTTGGCCTGGGGAGCCTCCCACCAGAAGGGAACAGCCTGATCACCAGCTGCACACATCAGCAAAGAGGGAGGCCCTCCGTTCAGGGGGGAGGCAGGGCGGGGCAGGGTCTGAGAGCAAACAGAAGCTGATGACGACTCAAGGACAGGAATTTGCCTCCTGGAAAGATGAACTTGGGCCAGAATTGCGTGGCGGCAGGAGCAGAGCAGGGCGGCTGTGTAGCCCTGGCTAGAGATGGTGGTGGCACTGGGAATGGAGGGAGGTGGGTGCCCACGAGGGGGTTCTGGAGCTGGGTTCAGCAGGGACGGACTGGGCGCGAGAACAAGATTCCCAACTGTGGCTGAGCAGCTGGTCAGATGGTAAAGCCATTTATCAACCTGGGTAGGCAGGTGTGCAGGGCTTTTGAGAGGGGCAGGAGATGATTTTGTTAAAGTTCTAGGCCTGGGCTATAAAGACTGTGGGATTTAGACTGAGAGAGTTGGGTTGAATCCTAGTTCTACCACCTTCTAAGGATGTGGCCTTGTGCAGGTCACTTCTCTCTGGGTCTCAACTTCCTTACTAGTAAAATGGGGATAATAGTGCTGCCCTTATGGGAGGATACAATTAGATACTGTAAGTAAAGTGCCCGGCACAATGTCTGGCACATAATAAGTGCTCAATAAATATGGGTTCCTTTCCCCCTGCTGTGGAGGTGGACCGCAGGGGAGAAGAGAGCGGTAGGGGAGACTTCAGCAGCCCTGCCCCACTCCTGCCCTAGGCTGGACGCTGGGGCCCAGGTGGGAACCCTATACCGAGGGGGCTGGGTCTTCCGGTGCAGGGGCCTTCGGGAGCCCCTGGCCTGTGGGGCCCCTGCAGGCTGCCTCCCATGCCCCTCTCTTCCTGCAGGGAAGCACTTCGAGGGCAGCTGCTGCCTGAAGAACAGGACGAGGACACCGAGGGCAGGTGCAAGCCTCTGTCCTGTGGCTGGGAGATCACAGACACCTTGTGCGTGCGCCCCGTCCTCACCCCGGCGAGCATCATGTGAGCGGACCCCGTTCCCCCCTACTCCCACCCCCGGAGATCTCCAGCGGGGCCGCAGAGATGCCTCTGGGAGACTTGGGGAAGGCGGCAAGCTGGGCACCCTCTGGCCAGGACTCTGGTGCTCACTCTGCTGCCCCCCATGCCCCACCTGTAGTGTTTCTGCCCTGTAAATAGGACCAGTCTTACACTCGCTGTAGTTCAAGTATGCAACATAAATCCTGTCCCTTCCAGCTGTGTCTGCCTCCTCTGCAGCGCAAGGGGCCTGGTCAGCCAGGTGTGGGGGTGTTCTTGGGGTCTCCCTTGGTCTCCTTACCACCTTTGTAAATATGAAGCAAATAAATATTTAGGTGTTTTTTTTTTTTTTTTTTTAATACTTCAGTGGAATTTAGCAGTTCAATTCACAAAGCAGCCGGGGCTAGGTCACCCTACACTGATGACCCCATGCCCTCTGCTTCAGTCCTGACCTGGCTGCAGCCTCTCCCATGGGTACCCAGCTTCTCTGACTCATTTCTTTCCTCTGCATAGGCTGCCATGCCTGGCGTCATGAGGAGGAGTGAGCTGTTAGGGGTTGAGGTAGGGGTCAGAGCTGCCTGCCACCCTTCAGCCCTGGAGCTGTGGCTCCTGACTGGTGAGGGGCCTCTATGTGAACCTAACGCCCATCTAAGGCCTGGCCCAACACAGGGGCAACTGAGTATCTAACACGGCTTTGGAAATACATACCAAAGATAAAGAGCACAGAGATGGGGGTCTGAGAGGTCCTGAGGAGGCCCACACCCTTAGGCTCCTTGCAGGTCTGCAAGGCAGTAAGAGTAATACAAATACACCGTGGCTGGTTTCACTCACTCAGGCAGTAAGTGTCATAACAGGGCGGCCCCAGGGCATTGCCACATCCAGTGCCAAAGGCCCCGAAGTGATGTCTTCTCAGCTGGAAGTCTATCATCAGGATAAAGCCTCCTTCACACTGCTGGGGTCCGAGGCTATGCACCTGGGGTGTGTGAGGTGCTTAGCAAAGGAGTTCAGATTTAGAGTCCCCCTAGCTGCTACATGGTACTCAAAAGATTTTTCTTCTGCAATTGAAAAACATTAAAATGTAATTGACGTGCCTTAAAATCCACCCTTTCAAAGCGCAGAATTCAGTGGTTCTTAGCATATTCACAGAGTTTGTACAGCCATCACTACTGTCCAATCCCAGAACATGTTCATTACCTCAAAAAGGTAATGTGCCCATTAGCATTCACTCCTCATTTTCCCCTTCTCCAGTCTGGGCAATCACTAATCTACTTTCCATCCCGATGGATTTGCCCATTCCGGACATATCGTTAGGACTGTTTTTATACCTTCACTTGAGCTTCTCTCTGGGTAAGCCTCATATGTGGTTTTCCCCCCTACACCGCCAAGCAATTCTCTGACGCCAGCTGGGTATCCCACAGTTCAACTCAATTCTGACACAATCTGCCTAGAGGTCACTTCAGATCCCACAGGTTAAGGGCTCAGTCCTACAAGACTTCCCCACTCTCCCCCCACTTCAGATACCAATCACCAAGTCCAGGCTGTGACCTGTGTTTTGGCCAACAGGCTATAGACTGGAGGTTCCAATGACTCTCTTCCTTGAGTTCAATTAATTTGCTAGAATGGGTCACACAACTCAGGGAAATACTTTACTTCCTATGTTACTGGTTTATTATGAATGGATATAACTCAGGACTAGCCTCAGAAGAGCCGCACAGGACAAGGTGTGGAGAAAGGGCGCACCTCCCTCCCAGCACATCCAGTGCACACCAGCCTGCGGGCTCTCCAAACCCGTCCTTTGGGTTTTTATGGAGGCTTCATTACCTACGCAGGACTGATGAGATCACTGGCCACTGGTGACTGAACTCCATCTCCAGCCTCCTCTCCTCCCGAGTTTGAGGGTAGGATTTAACAGAAGACACCTTTGCTGCTCTCATCACTTAGGAAATTCCAGAGATTTTTAGGATCTCTGCCAGGAACGGGATGAGAACAAAACATACATTTATTATTGTTAAGTCACAATATCAGATCTCGTCCTCCTGTCTCAGCATCTCAGCCAGTCCTGGGTCCTGCGTGTGGCTCTGAGGTCCTCTAATGAGGCAGTGTGTTCTGAGTGAACTGGGTGCTTGTCCAAAGCACAGATGTCTTTTCCTGGCTGGGTCTACTTTTTGATACTTTGACACTAAATAGGCTGAAAGGTCAGGACACCCAAGAGATTCAGAGAGCAATCAGAAAGGGTCACTCTATTGCCCCTCGGTTATCCATCCACAACCAGGTTTTACACATTACCACGCTGGGCTCAGCCCTTTTCTAGGAGGCTATTTCTGAGACTTCTGTTTTGATGCCCAAGTAGACCTGGACCCGCTCCTGCTTTTTTGGTGGAGGGGGGAGGAGAGGGGTGGAGAAGGCAAACAGGTTTTTCTGCTGGAAGAGAGTGTCTGCTCAGACCGCTGGCTTCAGTGAGATCCAGGCCTCGCCCATTACCTTGTATGAGGCAGGTTCGCTGGGGAGATGCTTCTGTGGCTTTGAAAGTGACCACAGCTGGCGGGGAGTTTGAACAGATTTCTCACTGGAGCCTTTCAAAGGTTTCATGTTCCATCTGCTGCAAGAAACGTGTGAAAGTTACTTTTCTGAGAAAGCTACACTGAGAAGTTGATGTGACTTGAGAATAATAAAGTTATTTCTTTTCAGTTGTTTTTGTCATTTCCACCATTTTTGTGAAAAGTATTAAACACGTGGAGAATGTGAGACAATGTTGAGGGCCTTCAGGCCCGTACAGGGGAATCTGACCGGGGTCTCCTGGAGCCTGGCTGCACAGGCTTTTGCCTCCTCTGAGCGCCTCCCTAAGCAAGCCACTGGCAGTGAAACTGCAGGCCATGCTGGCTGCTTTCCTGGTGGCCTCTGCCAACCCCAGCCTGCGCTGGGGCCTCCTCTAAGAGACACCCTTCTCTGAACACCTTCCCCCAATCCATCTGTACCTCCCGAGGCTCCTCCTGGGGGCTTCCAAGCTCACTCACTCACTCAGGGAGCCCAGTAGATCTGCTCCTGCCTCCCGGACCAAGCTGCCACCTCTCACCCAGGGACTGGCCCCTCTGTCCCCTCCACTGTTCATTCTACTCAGCCCTGGATCTGGCCATTTCCCATCTCATCAAGAATAACATTTAAAGTCCTCATCCAACTTCTTCTCTGACTCCCTTTCCTCCCTTAGTCACTACTCCCCAGACATATCGGCCCCTCTATTCATCAAACAGCCCATACACGGCACCTATGTTGGCCTTGCATTTACTGCCCCCTCTCTCTGAAATGACCTTTCTGGGTTATCTGTGGGGCTCACTCCATTCAGGATCTACTCAAATGTTTCCTCCAGGCAAGAACTCCTCTGAGGACTCTTTAGAAAAAGCACTTTCCAGTCTCTCTCTTCTCCCTTAACTGGTTTTCTTCTTCTTCACAGTATCTATCGGCACTCGACACGCTCCGTTACATGTTGGTCTGTGCATCATCTGTCAGCCCCTCTGGAATGTGAGCTTGGCAAGCATTTTATTTTTGTCACTGCTAGATCTTCATTACTTAGAACAAACTAGGTGCTCAAAAAGTGTATGGCAGGGGCGCCTGGGTGGCTCAGTCGGGTAAGCCTCCGACTTCGGCTCAGGTCACGATCTCACGTTGGTGAGTATGAGCCTCACATTGGCTCTGAGCTGACAGCTCAGGGCCTGGATCCTGCTTCGGATTCTGTGTCTCCGTCTTTCTCTACCCCTCCCCTGCTCATGCTCTGTCTCTCTCTCTAAAAAACAAACATTAAAAATTTTAAACAAAAGTATATGTCAAATGGACAAGTGAATGAACATAACAATTTGACCTGTCTGAATGCTTCCTCATTTGTAAAATGCGGCTGCTAAACAAACTGCCCTCAAAGGGTTACTGTGAAGATTAAGTGAGAAAATGGTATACAGCACCCAGCTCAGGGCCTGGAATATCATTAGGTGTCAGTAAATGATGCTGAAATGTAATTCCTTGAGTATTTACTGTGGGCATGCCCTGCAGGAGACGCCTGGGATGCAGAGATGAGTCCTCAACGAACTCACAGTGCAATGTGGTCAAAGAGGACCCCAACTGAGAGTAAGGAGTCTGATCTTAATTTGTAGGCAGTAGGGAGCCCTACATGATTCTGGAACAGAAGCATGACAGGACTTTGGAGAAGATAATTGAAAGCATATTCAAAAAGATCAGAGGAAAGAGACCTGGTGGGCTGGTGGCAGCAAGCACTTCCTTCACCCGAAAGCCTGGCTAAGGGCCCAGCCAGGGAGCCTTCCAGAGGTCCAAGGGACACAGCTGTCATCTCTGTCTACCCCTGTGCTGGAGGGAGACTGCGGCTCTCTGGGTGTCATCCCTCCCCTTGGAAGCTGACCTGCCCAGGCCAGCTCATTCCAGCTAGAGGGACCACAGGGAAGGTAACAGGATGGGAGTTCCCACTCAACACTTTGCTCCATGTTAAATCCTCTTCCTGGCACCGGGGGATGAGCAGCTAAGCCCGTGTAAATTCAACCAGCAAAATTACCTGATACAGCCTCCTAGCAGTCAGATCTTTTCGAAATCTGAATCTGATCTTGTCAGTCCTCTGCCAAAAGCCCTTCAGTGGATTCCCACTGTGATGCCGATAAAATAAAAAATTGGAGGAGATCTCTGCCTGCCTCTCCAATCTCATCTCATACGCCACTCTGCTTTCACCATGCTCCAGCCTACTGGCCTCTTTTCAGTTCCTCTCAATTCACAGAGTCCTTTCCTGCCTCCAGGACTTTGCCCTTGCTGTTCCCTCTGCTTCTCCTGGGCTGACTCATTCTCATTTTAAAGGGTCACCTTAATTTTTTTTTAAGTTGTATTTATTTCTGAGAGAGAGAGAGAGACAGTGGGAGCAGAGGAGGGTCAGAGAGAGAGGGAGACACAGAATCTGTAGCAGGTTCCAGGCTCTGCGCTGTCAGCACAGAGCCTAACGTGGGGTTCGAACCCACAAACTGTGAGATCACGACCTGGGCCGAAGTTGGATGCTTAACCGACTGAGCCACCCAGGCGCCCCTAAAGGGTCACCTTAAATGTCACCACCTTGGGAAGGACTTTCTGAATACCCTATACAAAGCAGCCCCCTGTCCATGTTAGGTGAAGTCACATTTTATAAGAATCAGATCCTAACGGCACTATTTTAGGTAAAAAAAACCAAAAACCAAAAAAACCAAAAACAAAACACATCAAGATTATCCCTGAATATCCTTAGGAAGTTATCCTATTGGAGACAATGCACCATTTCCTTTATTTCTGTTCCTCTAACATGCCAGGCACCATTTCCTTATGGCCCCAAACGGCTCCATGATCTTTCCCTCCCTCCTTCAGCTTCTCAGGGAAGCCTTGCTGACCACCACTCTTTAAAACGAACATTCCTACCCCAGCATTTTGTAAGGCTTGGTACCCTTCCTCTTCCCCCACCTTGCTCCACAGCTCACCATCTGACATACCATACCGTCTATTTGGAATTGGGCTCTTAAAGGCAGAGATTTATTTTGTTCACTGCCCTGTCCCCAGTGCCTAGAACTCTGCCTCATACATAGCTGTTCCGTAAATAACTCTTGAAAGAAGGGATCTTTCGCATCTCAGCTTAGGCCATCTCTCCCCTTTCTCCTCCTCTACGCCTTGGTTAGGTATGGCTTCTCTAAGCATTCATAGTATCCTCTATCTAATCATATTAAAGTGATCATTGTGTTGATCACAAGGTAATTTTTGTCTCCTTTTCTTCTTGCGAATCTGTTAACCCCACAAAGATAAGGAGTTTCTCCTAATTGCCAACGTCAACTGGAGCCTGGGTTTGTGCCTGTAGGGTAGGCGTTTAGTGTCTTTTGAATAAACTAGTCTTGGAGGGCGGGGGGTGGGGGAGGCGGGTGGGCATCTGGCCCCTTTGGCTCAGCTCCGGAAGAGCAGCCTGGACGCTGCAGAGGGCCGACCACTGACAGGCATACGCTGGGGACCCGGCAGGCCACCTCAGCATTACATGTAGAAAGATTGAGGTCGACACACTGGCGAGCCTTAGGAAGGAAGGAATACAAGGTGCCTCAATAGCTCTTTCTGCTCTCCCATTTACCTTGGCCTAGGACTGGCAGATAAATCAGAATTCAGACAAACGCCGGACACTTTTTTTTAGTAAACGATTATCCCGTGCAGTATTCGGGATGTTCTTACAGAAAAACGTTAACTTGTTTATCTGAAATTCAGCTCTAACTGGGCGTCCTGCGTTGTATCTGCTGAAGATGGTAATCTTACCCTCTCTCTGGGTTTCGTTTTCCCCATCTGTGAAAGGGGGTATTTCTGGGATACCAGCCTCGGGGGACCCCAGGCGGAGGAACGCCTCCAAAGGGGCCGTCCCTCCGCCGAGCCGTGTGGGGGCGCGCTGGTCTCGGGAGAGTTTCTCGCCGAGTGAATACATGCAAGGCCCTTCCTCCAGGAGCTTGGCTCTCTCACTGAGCATCTGCCAGGGGCGGAAACGATCCTTTCCGCCACGGCTGCACGGAATACCGAACGCACAGCTTCCAGCCGCGGCGGTCGCGGACGTCCGGTGGCGTGACGTCACTTCCGTGCCAGAGAGCCTCCTAGGCTTCGAGCCCCAGGCTATCGCGCCCTCTGCCGGCTTGGAGGAGGATCTGACTTCGCCAAAAGGAAGAGAGAGCGAGTCCATTGGTGGAAAGACGGACGTTGCTACCAGCCTCCACCAATGAGAAACCAAACCTTCGCCGCGGGCGGGGCTCTCACGGAAAGGGGTCAGCCCGGGACGAAAGCGGCGTGGGAAGGCGGCGACCTGGTCTCGGCCCGGCGAGAAAGGCTCCAAGTAACACCGGAAGTGGGCTTGTTACCCACCAGCTACTTCCGCCGCGCTATACAAAGTGGGAGGGTCCTAGAGTGAAAGGACTCGGGAGCTGTAGGGTGCGTGAGGCTTGTTTTAAGTGTCGTGTCTGCATATCCGTTTCGTACCCGAGGAAGACACATGATGAGGTCACGCAGAAAAATGGGGGCTTTGAACGAATTCTTGAGCTGGAGGCCAAGGTGTTCTTATGTTTTATTTTACTTTTTTTTAAACGTTTCTTTATTTTGGAGAGACAGAGACCGCATGAGCAGGGGAGGGGCGGAGAGAGAGGAGACACAGAATCTGAAGCAGGCTCCAGGCTCTGCACTGTCAGCACAGAGCCAGATGCGAGGCTCAAACTCATGGCCCAGAGATCATGACCTGAGCTGAAGTCAGACATTTAACCAACGGAGCCACCTGGGCGCTCTGTTTTTATGTTTTAAAATAATAGAGTGCTTACTGTGGGCCATGTCCAGCCCTTGCTTTATTTCATTTCATCCGCGCAAGCCTGTGAAGTTACTTTGACAGATTCCGACCCCTCACTGCCTGGGTTGTAATCCTGGTTCGGTCTGGTATTACCTGTTTCCTGGGGCAAGTTAACGTTTTGTGCCACAGTTTCTGCGTCTGTGAAATGGCATAATTATACTTACCTCATACCCTTGTTCTAGGGATTAAATTAATGAACATTTAAAGCGCTTAGAACTGCACCTGACTTATTAACCATAGCAACCGTTTAAGTTATTTCCATTTACAAGCTAGGAGACTAAGGCTTAGATAGGAAGTAGCTTGACTAGAACAGACAGTAATTAGTGAAGGCAGGTTGGGAAGCATCTGTGCCTGTTCTGGAGGAATCTCTCAACGTGCACCCAGCCCTTTCTCTATGGAAGCCTGCGGGGCCATAACTGCCTTTACAGCAAGATATGCATTCATTTAGTAGGATCCTATTACCCAATGGCGGCTCTGTGGGCATTTTAATAAACTCAGTTAAGTTGGGGAAGTTCTGTAGCTTGTTCTGTACATCTCGAATTAAGATGGCGAGATTCCAGGAAGGGAAGCAAAAATAATATAAAAACAGGGAGGGGGTCAAAAACATGAGACTCTTAAAAATGGAGAACAGAGAGTTACTGGAGGGGTTGGAGGAGAGGGAATGGGCTAAATGGGTAAGAGGCATTAAGGGATTTCCTCCTGAAATCATTGTTGCACTATATGCTAACTAACTGGGATGTAAATTTAAAAAATAAAGTGCTAAAACTATATATTAAAAAAAGAAGGTGAGACTGCAGGATCCATCTGCTAAATCCCATCAGTATAAAAATCAGCAGAAATGAACGTCTGAAAATGTTAAGTTTGAAATCATGTGAGATCTACAAGTGGAGATAATTTTGATTAGGTGTTGTGAGTGCTGTTAGTGCAAAAACATTAGGGAAAGCTGAGGGAGGTCTGATTAGGGATCAGTGTAACTGCCTGCTAGGGTAAAGGACAGACGTGGCAGAAGCAGTGGACTTTGACAGATAGGTAGGAGTTGGCCAGGTGGAAAAGTCAGGGGAGGTTCCGAGGAGCATTCCAGATTGGGAAATTGTGTCTACAAAGGAATAATGGTGTGATCACTCAGAGTCCTTTCTTGGGAACTGGAGTACCAGACGGAGAATGAAATGGAGATTGGGACATATTATAAAGGTTACGTCCTTGAGGTATAAGCAAGTCAACAGAAGTTTTTGAGCAGGAGAGAGAAAGGGTCAGCAATGCACTTTACGTGGCTCCCTGGGCAGCTGTGGTAGGCAGGCTCTTAGATGTCGCCAATAATTCCGAACTCCAGCATTCACACCTTGGCGAATTTCCCGGAAGTATGGATTGTGCTTATTGATTCCATTCTAATGAGTAGAATGTGTTAGAAGTGATGGATTATTATTCCTGAGATTAGATTAGAAAAAGACTGTGGACTGTGGGTTCTGTCTTGGGCACCCCCTCCATCTCTCTCATCCACTTGCTCTTAGGGAAGACATCTGCCATGTTGTAAGCTGCCCTATGGAGAGGTCTATGTGTCAAAGACCTGAGGTCTCTGTCCAATAGCTAGCAAGGACTTGAGGACTTCTAATAGTCACATGAGTGAGCTTTGAGGTGGATCCTTCCCCAGGAGGGCTTTGGAATGACTTTGGCCATGGCCAACACCTGACGGCAGTCATGTGACAGACCCTGAGCCAGAAGTACCCAGCTGAGCCACTACCAGATTTCTGACCCACAAAAACTCTGAGATAATATACATTTGTGGTTTTAAGTTCTAATAATGAAATTTTATTTTTTAAAAATGTTTATTTTCAGAGAGTCCATACGAGCAGGGAGAGTGACAGAGAGAGAGAGAGAGACTGAGAGAGAGAGAGAGGAGAGAGAATTCTAAGTAGGCTCTGTGCTGTCAGCCCTGAGCCAGATGAGTGGCTCGATCTCACAAACTGTGAGATCATAGCCTGAGCTGAAATCAAGAGTCAGACACCTGACTGAGCCACCCAGCCGCCCCTTAATGAAATTTTAAAGTAATTTGTTATGCAGCAATAGCAAACTAGATAATATAGAGGGGTGAGAAGACAAGAGAGAAAGCAGGGAGATTAGGAGGAGACGGTTGTTGTAGGCCAGGGAAGAGATGATGAGAATCAGAATTGGGGCAGTGGCTGTGGAGTAGAACAGCAGGGGATGAATTTGAGATATGTCCGGAAATAAAAGGAAGACATTCGGATCCCAACTCCATTGGATGTGGGAACAAGGGAGAAGGCAGAGGAGAAGGCAATGTCAATGTTTGGTAATAATGTGTAATGATATTAGAGTTGCTAGCATGTAGGCCAGGGGGGTGACTTTAAAAAGCAGTTCCTTGAGATTTCTGGCAAGAACAAGATAGGTCAAAAGCAGCCTCTATGTTGGACAAAGAGAAAACAGCTACTTTAGGGGAAGAAACGCTGCAGTAAAATTGAGTAAAGGGAGCAAGCACTGGAGGGAACTCTCTTCCCTGAGTTAGATTTACTCGTCAGTGGGGGGGTGGGGGGGGGGCTACTCTCCCCTCCATCCAGTCATGCATTCAGCAAATATTTAGTAAGTGCCTTCTCTGTGCTGGGCACCATTCCAGGCACCGGGGACACAAAACTGAGCACAAAAACCCCTGCCTTCGTGGCATTCATGTCTTCCATGTGGGAAGAGAATATATTTAGTTTCTGGGTGTCACTCTTTCCAGCACTGCTTCTGTTTTCTCCTCCTCCTCCTCCTCCTCCTCCTTCTTCTCCTTCTCCTTCTCCTTCCTCCTCCTTCCTCCTCCTCCTCCTTCTTCTTCTTGTTCTTCTTCTTGTTCTTGTTCTTGTTCTTGTCCTCCTCCTCCTCCTCCTCCTCCTCCTCCTTCTTCTTCTTCTTCCTCTTCTTCCTCTTCCTCCTCCTCCTCCTCCTCCTTCTTCTTCTTCTTCGATTTTTTTTAAAGTAATCTCTATACCCAACGTGGGACTCAAACTCACAATCTCGAGATCAAGAGTCTCCACCAACTGAACCAGCAAGGTGCCCCTGCTTCGGTCTTATTCTTTGACAATTTCAATATACAGAGAGATGGTCCTTCCAACACTTTGTCCTCTCAGTTTCTTGCTTCAAAGATCTTGTCTTCTTTTCACCTCAGGCACTCACTCATGATCATGCTATTGACTTTGCCATGAATCTGGTTTTCTAAGCAACCAGATGTCTTTCCATTTATTCCTTCTCCTATTCTGACTCCCTCAATCCTTCAACGTCGACATGTGGAATCTAGTAATCCTACATCTTGTATTCCCTCTCTCTCTGTTAATGTCCTCTCTTCCAGCTATATCAGTCAGGATAGGCTAGGTGATAATGCAGTAACAATCCCAAAATTTCAGGCTCACATGTAAGGTTTAGATTTTAAGCTTTAACACAGGAAAGCTTTATTTCTCACTCATACTATTTAAACATTGTGGGTTGACAGGGGCCTCTGTTTATTGTAGTCAGAAACCCAGGCTGATAGAGAAGCCAACACCTCAAGTCATGGTGGTCACTATGCTAGAGGAAAAGAGAACTTGGAGGGTTTTTCCGATAATTGAATGCTCCAGCTAGAATTTGTTCCTACTTGGCCAGAACTCGCCACATGGCCATGCCCAACCTCAAGTGAACAGGAAAGTGCATTTCTACCCAAAGTCCAGAACTGAGATGGAGGGGCGGGGTTGTAGAACAGGAATATTCATGGATAGCATTAAAGATTCCCATGCCAGTTTAAATTCCATGGTCAATCTTTATCATCATTCCCTTGCATTCACCCTCAACACCTTTGCCTCTCTTCGATTTGTTGTATTCTCTTAGCAAAATCATAACCCTGGTCAAATACAACTCTCCACCTTCACTCACACGGCTGAAATCACTGCACCTCTCAGACTTTCCAACAACTTCCCAGGACAGGACCTCCAGCCTACTTATTTGGGGGGGGTGGGGGGGTGGGCACTGATATGCCTGGCTTTTGTATTTCAGGGTTGGAGGCTAGGTGTGGCAGGAGCATTTAGAGAAGACTTTAAAAAATTTTTTTAAAGTAAGCTCTACGCCCAATGTGGGGCTTGAACTCACAACCCCAAGATAAAAAGTTGTATGCTCCACGGACTGAGCCAGCCAGGCACTTCAGGGAGACTTTCTTGAGGGAAGAAGGAAACATTGATTGATTGATCCCCTGCTGT